CACCGCATCGCCTTCGCATGCTCTTTGTTTTGGAACAAACGTTTCAACCGTGGTATTATAGGAGCATACCACATCACCTTGGCAGGAATCTTCTTCCTGGGGCGCTCACCCTCGACATCACCAGGGGTCATCGCGACTGATCTTATAACGCAATGCACCGCATACCGGGCAAGCATTCAAATCCTCGTACTCACCCCGGTAGAGGATGCAGTCATTAGGGCATGCATGTATCTTTTGCACCTCTAACCCTAGAGGGCAGACAACTTTCTTTGCTTCATACGTACTCTCGGGCAATTCGTTGTCCTTTGGAAGCATATTATTTATCATTACCAGCAACTTTCCAAATCCCTTGTCAGATACACCATTCTCTGCCTTCCATTGCAGCAATTCAAGTGTGGTGCCCAACTTTTTTTGTCAGCTTCGCAATTCGGGTACAACAATATCTTGTGATCCTCTAACATGCGTTGCAACTTCGTCCTCTCCAGATCACTTGCGCAGTTTCTCTTTGCATCGGTAATGGCCCGACCTAGATCATCAGCGGGCTCATCTGATGCCTCTTCTTCAGCTTCTTTCTGCATTGCCGGCTCAGCTTCTTCCCCCATTGTTGTATCATCGTATTCAGGGAACCCATGGCCAGGATAGCCGTCATCGTCCTCTTCTTCTTCATTGTCTTCCATCATAACCCCTATTTCTCCATGGTTGGTCCAAACATTATAGTGGGGCATGAAACCGGACTCAAGTAGGTGGACGTGAATGGTTCTTGACGTAGAGTAACTGTGACCATTCTTACAGCCAACACATGGACAAGGCATAAAACCACCCGCCCGCTTGTTTGCCTCAGCGGCAAGCAGGAAAGTATGCACGCCATTAATGAACTCGGGAGAGCATCTGTCATCATACATCCATTGTCGGCTCATCTTCATTACACAACACTGAATAGACCAAATTAATACAAGTTCATACATAAAGTTCATATACAACACTTAATTAAATGCAGCATACAAATAACTCTCTAGCTAAAGAATTTAAATGCAACAACAAATGCGATGAAGATCGCAACTAAGGTAACAATTGATCCAACAGCATAATGATACCAAGCCACACTATCAATGGCATATTTTCTAATCTTTCTAATCTTCAACCTCATTTCTCCATCTTGATCTTGTGATCATCGACGACATCGGCAACATGCAACTCCAATTCCATCTTCTCCCCCTCAATTCTTTTCAATTTTTCTTTCAAATACTCGTTTTCTCTTTCAACTAAATTTAACCTCTCGACAATAGGGTCGGTTGGAATTTCCGGTTCACATACCTTCTAGATAAAAATATCTATGTCAACTTGATGGGCATAATTTGTCATAAACACAAAATGCAACAACTAGTTTTAAATGAGAATATACCACATCCGAATCATAACAAGGACGAGGGCCGACGGGGACGGATATCAAAACCATGACACTATGTATAACAATCAACGTATGGATAAGATAATTATACGAGTAACTATATATCCAAATCACACAAACATCAATTTGGTAATGTAAAACATTCATGAACAAGAGCCTCACCACAAGGTGGTGCTGGCGACGGGACGGTGCGGGCGATCGACGGTGGTTACGACGGAGATTTAGAAGGCACTAAGTAAACCACACCTACATATGCAAACTAAGTGTTATTTTTGACCTCAAATTGCATATAAATCAAATACTAGCAAATATAATTCCTCCCAAATTAATCACTATACAAAGCATTGCAAGAGCTAATCTAGCAATGAGAATTGAAAGGACAAAGTTGCTAACCTTTGTGATCATTTGAATGGATGGGGGCCTTCAAATCTTGACAAATTTTGGGCAAAATTTGTGAGGAGCTCGAGGAAGAGAGGGGAAGAACAGAGGAAGTGAGGGGAAAGGGGAAGAACAGAGTGGCTCGGGTGGACGAAGGGTTTATGTAGGTCGACCTTTAGTACCGGTTCGTGCCACGAACCGGTACTAAAGGTGCTAGAGGGGCCCCAAACTGACAACACCCTGCCACCACTCTCTTTAGTACCGGTTCGTGCCATGAACCGGTACTAAAGGTTCGCCACGAACCGGTACTAATGAGAACGGCCGGCTAGCCGTTGGAACCGGCACTATTGGACACATTAGTGCCGGCTCAAAATCAAACTGGCACTAATGTGTCTCATATTAGGTCCTTTTTCTACTAGTGTTAATTAGTTGCTCCGGACCAAGGACATCAGGAAGTTCTTGGACGGTATCTACATCAGCGACAAGGGCGCCATCAAGGAAGAGTAGGGGTGCGACCCATCTGCCACAACCTCTTTGTAGCTTTATACAGAAACTGTTCTAGAGGGTGGGTGTTTTTTGAGTGAAGAATCACATGTGTTGGCTGCAATCTGTACTGGTTCGATCAGGGATGTCGGGCCAACTCCAGCGCACAACCCCAAACGAACGTACGTTTTGTCCGGATTCTGTCCGTTTGGGTAGGGCAATGGGGTTGTGTCTGGGCATGTTCTGGGATGCGGTGGCCGTGCGTCCAACATGCGGACGCATCCTTTGGCCTCATCATGTCCGCCACGGCCAAAACTGCCCATATATTCATATTTCAATGTTCAAAACTAGTTTGCACGTTCAACTATTAATTGTCTGAAAACAAAAAGAGTTTTACAACCCAATCGAAATTGTCTCTAACAAAATAGTTTTATAACCAAATCAAAATTGTCTTGAATGAACATAATGAACCAATACATCTATTGGTTGTCAATGTGATTCCATATCTATTCAACCAACTCACTTTGAAGATCCAAATGAGAGTGCCAATCACGCAGTACACGATGAAATTGGGCAAATTGTTCAAACATGGCCGGTTCTTGGTGCAGGGGCTCAACATTTTCATCTTAAAAATCAAATCCTTGGTCGAAGATGTTGTTATCTCGCTCGTTCTCGACGATCATGTTGTGCATAAACACACAAGTAGTCATTATCTCCCAAAGCTTCCCTTCATCCCAGGTCAGTGAAGGGTTTCGAACGATACCCCATCGGGATTGAAGCACACCAAAAGCACGTTCCACATCCTTTCTAGCACTCTCTTGCATTTGGGCAAAACTTTTTCTCTTCTCACCCTGGGGGTTCGAGATTGTCTTCATAAAAGTTGACCACTGAGGATATATACCATCAGCTAGGTAGTATCCCTTGTTGTACTGGTGGCCGTTGATCTCAAAGTTGACAGGTGGGGAGTGGCCTTCTGCAAGCCTTGCGAAGACTGGAGAACGCTGCAGCATGTTGATATCATTGTGAGAACCTGCCATACCGAAGAAAGAATGCCATATCCAAAGGTCTTGCGAAGCCACTGCTTCTAATATGACATTGCACGCTTTGACATGCCCCTTGTATTGGCCCTGCCAAGCAAACAGACAGTTCTTCCACTTCAGTGCATACAATCTATGCTGCCAAGCATGCCTGGAAAGCCTCTAGTTGCGTTGGTCGTCAACAACCTTTCTGTATCATCAACATTTGGCTGCCTCAAGTACTCAGGGCCAAACACCGCCACCATGGCCTTGTAGAAGTTGTACAATGACAACAGACATGTCGACTCACTCATGCGCACGTACCCATCCACCAGATCGTCTGGAATTCCATATGCAAGCATGCGGATGGCCGCGGTGCATTTCTGGTAAGAGGAGAATCCAAGCTTGTCAAGGGCATCCGTCTTGCACTCGAGGTATGGGTCATGAGCAACCACTCCCTCTCGGATACAATTGAACAGATGTCTTGCCATCCGAAAACGGTGACGGAATTTATCTTGCTTCAAGAGCAGGGTATTCGCAAAGTAATCGGCATAGAGCAGGACGTGGCCTCTCTCTGTTGGGGTTCAGGTTGGGAGCACGGCCAGGGACTGACCCCCTGTACCGAGGAAGTTGTCATTCAATGTGGTTGTGAATGACCAGTGCAGCCGCCACAAGATCTTCGTCATCCGAGGACGAATTGTCCGATGAATAAATGAAGTGGTGGAAGAAACATTCATCTCCACTGTCCATACCTTTGTGGGCAAAGTGTCAAACACCTTGCGGTCGTGGTGGCAAAGAGGCTGCGATGATCACCTCGATGCAGTAGGGGTGGTTGGCGGCTAGCTACTGGCCGCTCTGGACCACCCGACGGAAGCTGCCGTGGTCCATATCCGTCGTCGGCGGTCGTATCCCCTCTGGCACCGGCTACGACGGCGACGACCAAATCTCCTCCAAGCGACGGCTAAAACTCCTACGAAAGCAGGGGCGTGGTGGCGGCCATGTCGGGACGTGGTTTGGTATGGACGGGCGGGGGGGTGAGCAGTAAGGAGGCGGCCGGAGAATAGTGGCGGCGCCGGCGACGGGGTGGGGCAGGGGAGAGCGGGTGGAGGCGTTGGAGGCGAATGGAGTGCTAGTGTCCCCGACAGGTGGGCCACGGGGAGGACAAGGGCGTGCGTCCAGCCCGTCCGCGTGATGTCCGTTTCATCCCAAACTCGGCACAAGTTTGGGCATGTAATGGGTCGAAAACGGACGAAATCCGGACGTTTGTCCGTTTGGGACCTCGCGTTTGGCCGCGCTATTCGTCCGTTCTACGCTAAACGGACGCATCCGAACGAGATGGGGTCGCGTGCTGGAGTGGAGATGTGTTTGTTTCACAGGTTGATAATAGTCTTGTTATCTGCTGCTATGCTTTGTTTGCTTTGAGCCGGGTTGGCTCCTTTGCCTGCTGTTACTGGTGCCTCGACTACACACCTTCCAAAAGAAGAACAAGTGACTGACGAACGACAGCCTCTTATCGGCTCGTGTTTATATTATTTGCACAGCCACGTAAACTTTGTTCCAAAATGAAGGGCACATGACACACTTTATGTACAACTCACTCACGTACGTGCATACGAGTACACCAAAAATCGAGAAGAAGAAACCGCGACTCGGTTGACTTGATTAGTTGACGCGAACGTCCGTCCACGGGTGATCGAGAACTCGAGATGTTAATTTTAATTCTCGGCGTGGACGTCGGGGCCGGCTTTCTTGATTGCCGCCGGCGGCGGCGGGGGCAGCTGGTTGCCGTCGGAGTCGAAGGCGATGTGCCCGGAGAACTGGAGCGGCCGGCACTTGTCCCCCATGATGATGGCCTTCCGCCACACGGCCTCGTCGTCGTCGTCCAGCCCCAGATCGGCCACCGCCTCCTCGTCGTCGCTGCTGCCGCCCGGCGCCGGAGAGCGCCTGTTCCACGACACCATCCTGGCCGCCTTACCGCCGATCCCGCTCAGCGTGGCCGACAGCAGGCGCCTCCGGTTGCTCGCGCCGACGCTGCTGTCCGATTTCGGCAACGGCGCGGACGAGGAGGACCCGCGCTGCCGCCCCCACAGCTTCGCGTGCGTGCTGCTGGTGCAGAGCGACACGACGACCGCCGCGACGACGAGCACCACGACGAGGACGAGGACGAGACTCGCCGCCCCCGGCGCTCCGGCGGCGTGGTCGGCGGCGAGGAGGAGGAGCCTTGCCATGTCGCCACAGTACTGTGCTAGCTTAGCTTACGAGCCGGGGAACGGAGTGGCCGCGGCTTATATGCACGCACGCGCGCACGCACGCACGATCTGGCACCGGAGACTGGACTGGGGAGAAGAGAATCGTGGCTGGACATGGCGCTCAAATTCCCCGGCCGTGCAGGACCGGTTAGATTGACCGGGCCAGCGGCGACGGCGATTGACGCTACGGGTCGTCGCCCGCCCGCCGGAGACTGGCGCTAGCGGACAGCAGATGCCGCCTGCCGGTCAAGTCCATCGGCATCGCGTGGGCCAGCTAATCACCTTTGAGGTTTGAACAAATGAGGACCATATGCTCTGTTCCTCATTCTTGGTAGATTTTTCTCTTTCGGAAATGATATCTGACGAACATCGGCCAGGGAGCCCATCCAAGGGAACGACTTCCCGGCCGTTGCACGAATCTTGGAGCAAGGCTGAGGCCATGTCGATCACATCGAGTCGTTCGCTGTGACACGTATCCTGCCGAGCGTTCTCCATATTTTTTCTCCAGAAAATCCACGACCAAGGTGCGCGAGGAGGAATTCAAACTCACGACCTTCTGCGCACGGGGAAGGGGCACTTACCACTCACCACTCAACTGAGCGTCTTAATTCTAGGTACCACAGAAATTTATTTGCATTTTAATCCATACCATTTTTTTTTCTGTTCCAAATCCTGTTAATTTTTAGGTCTTTTTGCAATGCCCCATGGCAAAAAACTTCGGTAGTTTTTAATTATTCTTGGCAATTCTGGCAATATTTTTTAACTCTCATATGGCAGTTTTCTTATTGAGAGCATGGCATTTTAATAATTGATAAATGGTATTTTTATTATAAGAGGATGGCAGTTTAATTATCAATAACATGATATTTTTATTATTAATAACATGACATTTTTACTAAGAGCATGTCAGTTTTATCGTTAAGAGCATGCCATTTTTATTATTAATAGGATAGTAGTTTAATAATTGACAGGTTGGAATTTTTATTTTTGTTTCCATGACATGTTATTAATCAAGAGGATGACAATTTTATCATTAAGAGGATGACATATTTTTTTCATTGGCAAGGCATTTTTTATGAATTTTCGCGCAGTACACCAATAAAAAAATTACACATGGACAGTTTTTGTTGCTGCCCATGGGGGAAATAAAGAAAAAAATGTTCTCAAAAAACATGACAATTTTTGCACAGCGAAACATCTCCACGAAGAATATCATAAATATACTTTTCATAGATCATACGACACATTTTTTTTATTCATACCATTGTAAATTTATCAATTTGAAAAATGTCAATTTTTTAAAGTAACATGGCATTTTTGATATTTTTAGAATCATGTCGTTTTTTTATAAATTTATGTTTCATCTGCTTTTTAAAGAAATTGTATTTTTTCAAGACATTTAAGAAAACAATTAACTAGGCCTCTGGGCCAATCGGGTTTTGCCCCGGCCTTCCCTAGAGAGAGAATCAACTAAAAAAACAAGAGAGATAATCAGGTGGAGGAGGCAAGGCGGGGTGACAGCATACTATTGAGTTATTAGTGCCCCTAGTCGATGAGAGGCGGGGATGGGTGGAAGCCGGGAGCAGAGACTTGGTGATGTTAACAGATAATGCAAGAACCTCCAGTGGTGTAATCGATGGATGACATTGCACCGTCGGCCTCCATGCATGAGCGTGCTCGTGTCATATGTAGGGGGGAAATATCAGGTGCTCCAGCCCATGCAATGATACGCTGCTCCGAAACATCCAGGTGCGTCAGATCTGCATGAAGGGGCAGGATCAATTGACCGATCTATTTCAATATGCCCCCTTGCAACATTTGCATCTGCCCCTGAAACTTCACGTCTTTGCAACTTACTCTCATGTCTGATCCTCCCCATCGCATCAAAAATTATCTTGACTTCACTCGCCGTCAAGTTGAATTCGCTGATTTGGCGCCAGAGGTAGTAAATAGATGTGTAGATAGTAAACAGATGAATAGCAATTGATATAGATATTACCGAAGCCAGATGTACATGTTAGATGAGGGGGCCAATGCCCCCCCCCCCCAACCCCCTGAATCAATGGAAGCCTTGCATGGAATTTTTTAGCCTTCTACATCCCCCCTCACAAACATTGATGGTTTGTCTTTTCCCCTCTACAAGAAGTTCATGAATTTGAAAATAATTTTTTTAATTGTTCACAAATCTAAAAATAGTGGATGCAAAAATAAGAACGAAGAAAAAGAAAAAAAAGAAAAAAAGGCTATAGAAACTCATCACAAAAAACCACCAAGAAACCAGCCAAAAAATGATGAAAGGTTCCGAAACTGATCCAAAAAAAATGTTGTATCGGCATCACAACCCCATGCTAGAGAGTAGGTGTTCCTTACCACTTAAGCCACTTAATCTGGAACAAGTTTCGGATTTTCGAATTGTTTTCCAATATTGAAATGAATATCAAAATTCTGAAAAATGAAAATTTTCTAGACCATGTATTAAAAATTGCTCACCATGTATTAATGAAAGAAAAAGGGAAAGAAAATAAAGAAAAAGAATGAAAAAACCGGATGGGAAAAAACCAACAAACAAAACCCCCAAAAAACATGAAACAACCAGAAAAGAAAAATCGAAAAAGAACAAAAAAAATGAATAGAAAAACGAACTTGCTAACGGCAGCACGCGTTCACATACTGGGTCGACCCACCCATGGGCGAAGCCAGTTATGTTTCCGCCCGATCTAACGGATTTACGAGTCTTTTAGTTACAAAAGAGAAGAAACAGTAAATGTTGTTGGGAGAGATGAAGGGAGCAACTAGTTGAAGAGCGCACCTTCGGAAGCTTCCAAATGATCACTTGGACTTGGCGCAGTCTCAGCCGCCACTGGAAGAGCTCTGGGCACTCCCTTCAGATATTTTCTTTTTTATTTTTCGTATGCATTTTCAGCTTTTTAGACGGTTTTTTCTGTTTTTTTGTCTTTTTTGTTTTTTCATCGGTCTTAGCTTTTGAACGAAACAAAATTTATATTCTTTTTCTTGCGAAAAACGTGTTTTTTTCTTCCGCAAGAGGCACGGCCGTGCCTCACGGAAACGGGAAAACGCATTTTCATTTTTTTCCTTAGGCGAGAGGCACGACTGTGCCTCTCGGAAATGAGAAAAACACATCAAGATTGTGGTGTTACTTGGGAGCCTCCGTCAAGATTGTGGAGTTGAACCAAGGAGTTTGTAAGGGCAAGGAGATCGTCTACTTCGTGAAGATCTACCCAAGTGAGGCAAATCCTTCATGGGCGTTGGCCATGGTGGGATAGACAAAGGTTGCTTCTTGGTGGACCCCTTCGTGGGTGGAGCCCTCCGTGGACTCGCGCAGCCGTTACCCTTCGTGGGTCTCCATCAACGTGGATGTACGATAGCGCCACCTATTGGAACCACGCCAAAAATCTCCGTGTCAACATTCTTTTGCTCTCTCCAAACTCCTCCCATTTACTTTCTTGCAAGTTGCATGCTTTACTTTTCGCTGCTCATATACTCTTTGCATGCTTGCTTGAAATGTGTTGAGATTGCTTGACTAGTGCTAAGTTGCTAAAATCTGCTAAAAATTAAAATTAGGAAAAGGTTAAGCTTTTATTTGGTCAAGTAGTCTAACAACCCCCTCCTCTAGATATACTTTTGATTGTACAGGATCATCAGTTCCGGGGACCTGATTGATGGTTTTGCCGTCTTGGCTCGCTTTGTATTCAAGAGACCGCTGCTAGCTGGCTCTTGGTAGCTCTTGGAGTGACTGAAGAAGGATGGATCCTCGTGGTCGTGAAGCTTGAGGCCGTGCTGATGGATGGAGCCATTGGTTGATCAGATAGTTCTTTTTAGAATTGTTAGTAATAACAAACAATGGTAGCTTGCTTGGTATATTTTGTTGGCAGCTAGCTAGCTCTTAGAGATGAAAATCCTGGTATTGATGACAGGAGGAGGCAAAGCACACAAGTTGTATTTTGCTCATGTACATGTGATATCTCATTTATAATACCATATATAATTGTTATTAACCTCAATCTCCGGCTCCCAACCGCGTTATGCTGCCAAAATTTCTATCTAAATTTTTCATGACTTGTCAAAATTTTGGCCTTGTTTGTAAGAAAACAAAACTTTGGGCGTTGGCTGCGAAATTCTGGGCTCTTGTTTGTAAGGAAACAAAAGCTCTATGGTGTTGACTGCAAAATGTTGGCATTGACAAAGCTCCTTGTTTTTAAACGAGAAGAGGCGTGCATTCATGCCCGCCTTAATTTTTTTCCTGTATATTTTTTGTTTTTTGCTTTATTTAATTTTTAATGTTTTTGAGTGATTCTTTTTGCTTTAAGTCACAAAAGTTATAAATTTTCTGTGAAACAGGAATTCTATGAAATTTAAAATCCAGAACATATTTTATGAAAATGTGACCAATTTTTGGAAATACGAACAAAATTTTGAAACTCCAAACATTTTTCCACTTGATTTTCTTTGGAATTTCTGAATAATTTTTAACATTGCGAACAATTTTTGAAAATGTGAACAAAATTGTAAAATTATGAACATTTTCAAAAATGTGAACAAAATTGTAAAATTATGAAATATGAATGTTGAAGTTGGGCTCAAAATAATGAATCGGAGCAACGATTAACAAGGGCCCATTATTTTGTTGAGGATAATTTTGTCCGTATACCAATCTTGTGTGTCTGGTGATCTATTATGTTGTCGTGAGATCTTCACGGCGTGATGACGGATTGTAATTTTGTTACCGTGAGAGCTAACTTACAAATGGCCAACTATTTTAAATATCAAAAAGACCCAGGAGCAGCCGCAGAGTCCAGAGGATAATTTTTATTACTGTTTGAAAGACATTTTGTTAATTAAGAGGATGCCAGTTTTATTAATAAGAGAAAGACAATTTCATTTTTAATTGAAATTATAATTTTTTATGAATTTTGCACAGTGGATCAAATAAATCAAAAATTTACACATGGACATTTTTTGTTTTTGTACATGAAAAAAAATAAAGAAAAATGTTCTCCAAAAACATGGCATTTTTTGCGCACTGAAACATCTTCACAGAAAATTGCATACATTTTTTAAGTGTAATTTGTAAGCTATGCAAAAAAAGAAATTCCGGCCCAAAAACGAAAAAGCGGCCCATTTGAAAATACATATTTGTCTTTTCTTTGTACGCCACGTGTCAAAGTAGAATGTTGTGAAATTTTGTACACACGTAGTATACATGTGTATATGTGTTTACAAATAAGTGTCAAAGTAGAATGTTGTGAAATTTTGTACACACGTAGTATACATGTGTATATGTGTTTACAAATAAGTTCAACATTTTTTTGGCCTCGTAGAAAATGATTTTTTTGGAAACGGGCACCTTGGTGCCCGTGCGACACTTGCTGTTTGCACCCCTTCCCACTTCTCTTTCTCTCGGTCCGCATGGCTGGATGGGACTTCTTGGGCTGCCACATGCGCAACAGTTTTTACCAATCTAGCTCCAGCCCAACAATTGTCTTCCTGGCTGAAAAAACAATTGTCTTCCTACATGAACATGGTCCTTTTTAGCTTTACAAAACCAAGATATGTGATGTCGATGATTTACGATGTTGTGCATTCTTTGCTCACCTTATACTAAAGGATGAACATTGTATTGCATGGCTTTTTTTTATTTTTTTTGAATAAGTCATCTAGGTAGAGGATCCCCACCTAAGGGTGAACCATAGGTTCAAGTTACAAGAGTTATAAGCTAGAACCGGTGTGTGAGGAGAGGTAGTGCCCCCAAGACAAAGCGTTTGCCTTTTGACTAGGTTCTTCAAACCTATGACTATGAGTCTGGAGTGTGAAATCGTCAATAATGTTGGAGAAAGTAAGGTGAGCGGGGCGAGTGTCGTTGCCGAAGACTTTTGGCGTTTTTTGAGTCCCAAATTTTCCACAAGATGGTGAGGAGGACCCGCCACATGTTTGTGTCGATGCGAAGCTCAACAAAGTACTTAATTACTGATTTTTTCGTTGTTGTGAAATTACTTAATTACTGATTGCAAAAACAGTGTAAACACTAAGGCAATCCATAGTGAACAAACCCTATTGTGATAGTAATAATAATTAGATAGGGTACCAATACATCAAGCACAAGTTTTCTGATCTACTCCAATTGACAAGCCTTAATGCACACACCATAATCAAGCACGATCCAAACAACCCTAGCTAGTTTTAATCAAATCCGTCTGCATACTCGCTCACCACACATAGGCGTGCATGCATGCCCGCCTGAATTTAAACGAGAAAACTCCTCGCAGTAGCAAGGTAGCACAATTAAGTTTCAGACATTGTCGGAGGTGGTGGAGGAAGGCGGCAGGAGAGGCTGGGTGATGGAGGAGGCGAGCTTGGCGCTCCGGACCTCGCGCTCGGCGCCGCCGGAGGAACCTGCGGACGCGGCGGCCATGACCGCGGCCTCCTTGCCGATGCGCGACCTCTCCTCGCTCTTGCCCCAGAGCACGAGGTAGAGGCCGGTGATGATGAGCGCGGCGCCGATGATCCCGCCGAGGTAGAACTTCTCGCCGAGGGTGAGGGAGGCCATGATGGCGACGACGAGCGTTTGCACGGGCTGGTACACGGCCACGAACACCGGGCCCCCGCGGTCGATGCACCAGATCTGTACTGCGAACGCCACGCCGGACGCGATGAAACCCTGCATATATATATTACCGTTTTCATTTGACATGTCAGCTGCCACGCCTTACGTCTGCATAATCATTTCCATATCTCTTGAGAGTCAAAAAGCAAGCAGCTTAAGATCTGAAACATGGATCATCATGCCTTCCACTCACTGACTTGATATGCTAAAGGAGTACTGCTTTTAATAAATTTGTTTACCTCTAGTCTTTTAGCAAATTATCGTATCATTTGCACCACAGACGGAGAGTAGAAAACAACTAACTCTTAACTGCGAAATTATATAGGGTGCTAATAGAAATGCTTACGGCGTAGAGGATGGTGAAGACTTCGGAGCCGGAGTGGAAGACCCAGGCGCCGGCGTCCCTCTCGAAGAAGGCGGCGATGATGAGGAACTGGATGACGCCGAAGAAGCAGGTGTAGGAGGTGACCGACAGCCTCGCGGGGTACTTCTTGAGCACGGGTGCCTGTAGCACCAGCCAGCCGGACCACGAGAGGCAGTGGCCGATGAGGTAGACGCACCCCAGCGTCCAGTTCTTGCCCTCTCCGGCCACGGCCGCCAGAAACGGCACCTCGTGCAACGACGGCTTGTCGTCGCCGGTAGGGGCGAAGATGGTGGGGCCTTGGTAGAGCGTGATGACGGACGCGCCTGCGACGCACGCGAGCGTGCCCAGCACCTTGGCGACGCCGTCGCGGCGGTCGAGGCGCACCTTCTCGATGCGGAGCGCGGCGGCCATGCCGAAGGTGATGGCCGGAACGGAGTTCTGGATGGCGGAGGCGAAGGTGGGGGAGGTGTTGTCGAGGCCGAGGAGGTAGAAGCCCTGGTTGGCTGTGATGCCGCAGAGGGCGAGGAAGAAGAAGTGGACGGCGAGGCCGAGGGTGAGCCTGGGGCGGTCCTTCTTCTCGAGGAAGTAGGCGAAGGGGACGAGGAGGAAGAGCGCGATGATGTTGCGGTAGACGGGGAAGACGAGCTTGCTGATCCCCATGTTGAGCGCGAGGCGGGACACGACGTGGAAGCCGGCGTAGCCGAACTGCAGCGCCAGCATCGCCACGTGGAGCTGCGCCTTCTCCGGCATCCCGCAGACCCGGCGAGCATCCACCGCGTCCGCCATGGCTGCACCCTCTCCTCACTTGATCTCTCCCTAGATCGAGATAGAAGCTGCTGCTGGAGCGAGGTGACGATGAGAGACTAGAGAGAGGAAGGCCTAGGCCAGGGATGAGGTGAGTGAGGAGTGCAACCAGGGGTGTCTAGCTATATAGACGCGCGACATTCCACTTGGACGTCAGTAGGTGAGCATGCTACAGAGAGTGACACTCAGCTAGAGGCAGACAGTGAAGTGAGCCATGGTTGGTCGGAGAAGACCTTGGTGCATGGGCATACGCCGACCGAGCGACCCCTTCATGCATCCCACTCGTATCATGTACTGCCTCAAGATTCCTGAGATCACAGTCGGAAGTATAGTATTTCTCCAGAGCTGTCAATGTCGTAGGTACGATCCACTTTGGTACCTCCCATGGAAATACTCACACACCTTTAGCAAGCTGTAGTTTTGTGCGTGCTGCAAAGTTGAACCACTTGAGTTCTTCACTGGCCAACCAGTACTAAACATCAACCGCTGCTGGCTTTTTCCCCCCGCCGGGAAAACCGGTGTTGGCTTTGTTCAGCTCAACTTTCCAGGCCATGTTTCTCCCAAGCGGAAACTAGCGCACTACCGGTAGGTACCGGCACATCCTTAGCCGTTCCTCTCTACATCAAGATTAGTACTTCTTTTTTCTATAAGATATCAATCTTTTCCTTACATGAATACACATCAATACAAACATGGAGGGGGTCCATAACAACAGTTTTTTGTGTCAGATGAGGAAGGAGAGAAGCGTTGCATGCGCAGAGATTCCCTCTCCAACTAAAGACTTGTATTTTATTTTATTTTTATATCATTTTGAACGGCTCACAAATTTGGTACCGAAATTTTGTTTCTGAAACTTTTTAGTTTTTACATATTTGAATTCTTGGTGAATAGACCGTTAAAAGAAGACCGACCCTGAATATATTTTGGACGAGTTTAAAGTACCGATTTCACAAAGTTCACATATTTTATAATAATATATTTCACTCATTTCAAAAAATATTTCATAATAGCATATTTCACTCATTTAAAAAATCATAATAAGATAGTTTGCTCATTTCAAAATAAATTTCATAATAACAGATTTCGCTCATTCCATATAACATATTTCACAACTTTCATAATAACATATTTAAAACGGATTTCACTTATTCCATGTAACATATTTCACTCATTTCAAAAAGGATATCCTAATAACATACATATTCCAAGATTTCATTAATAACATATTTCACTCACTTCAAAAAGGATATCATTATAACATATTCCACTCATTTCAGAAAAGATTTCGTAAATAACATATTTCACTCATTTCATACTAACATATTTTACTCATTTCAAAAAGGATATCATAATAAAATATTCCACTCATTTCAGAAAAGGTTTCGTAAATAACAAATTTCACTCATTTCATTATAACTTATTTCACTCATTTCAAAAAAGATTTCATAGATACTTGTTTTCATTATTCGCTCCGCCTTCCTTTGAGCTGAGCACAGATGTGGCAGTCTCCGCGGCATTGGTTCTTTCAAGCTTGTTGACATCGTCGTCGTTGGAGAGATTGGCTGCTAGCTCATGGAGCGCGGGAGAAGGGTTTGTGCCGGAGGAGATGCCCTGTGGACGAGCGCTGCCAGGGAAGTGTCGCAAAAAATGTCGCGGATCTGGCAACAGGCAAGCAAAAGGCGGCGAAGGTGGGCCAACGGGAGATGAGGCTGTGGAGGGTGAGCTTCGGGGTGAGGTCCATTGGCCCACTAACCATCATTTTTATTAATTCTAAGTATAATGGAGCTGCCCAGTTAGTTATGAAAAAACTGGGTGAAAACCACTGCAACACATGAATCGTGCACACAACATCTTCAAGGTTGCACATTGGCATCACCAGCATCACTTTTCACCGAGCAAGCGACTCCAACTCATGCTGGACGGCTGCCGACAAAGTCCACACAGCAAAGGTCACAATCAGCCACACAAAAACCATATGACATGCAACCGGCCACACGTCAACGACCTGCAAGCATGGTGCCACGAAAGATCACTGAACGGACCACCCGTTGCCCAGATCGTCGCCACCTGAACATAGCCGCCACAACTCCAACTTCACAACAAGAAACAACCGAGGCGATCTTAGCTCATGCTTATGTGGTAGTTGGTTTTGCCCATGTCCTATATGGTATTATGTTCTTGTTGTTGGGACTTCTTGCACATTCGTTGAGATCTTCTTTGAGTCATTAGTTGTCATTTATACAAACCTACACATTTCATTCTTATCCCATGCTTTATGGAGATTGTCATTTGTGTGGCATTAAGCATCTGGAAAGAACAAACAATTTCTTTTTCAATGCTGAGATCCATCTTCCCTATGCTTTCACGTCTGGTTACAAATTGATATTCAACTTCATAGTTTTCTGTGAAGCCATGCCTAGTTTGATCCCCGATTGATTCATTGGTGCAATTTTTCTCTAAATTCTGTGATATTTCCTTTTCATGACCGCTTCATGTAAATATTGTGAACAGTGGTGGAGCTCTATGAGGGCCAACCTGGGCCACCGCCCCCCAGCCCACAAGATTTTCTTTGAGTATCCCTTGTCATATAGGCCATATAATCAATGGAAATCGGCCCAAAAACTGTTCTAGCCGCCCCCAGCCCATCGCCCCTCCAGGAATTTGGCAAGTGCCGCCACTGATTGTGAAGACTCCTTTTTATTCTATAAAGGTGAAGCCTCCTTTCTTAGTCTATGAAATAGGGGACCCACATCGTATTATGGGAAAAAGAAGATAATTATTAGACATACACATTAATGTAGAACCCTCTACTAAGATTTTTTTTTCAAAAACTAAAATGGACACAACAACATATAAAGATATGGTACATTCAAGTGGTAAAAATTAGCATTTAATGTCGTCAATTTTGTATTTTTATTCTTTGTAGATTTAGATGGAATTTAGTGTAGCAAAATTTCCCAAACTATTTTTTAAATAGCATAACTTTCATGAGTTCTACTTTTGGAATGGTGTATTTGTAAACATAGATTCTTTAATTTCATAATAATAAGTTTTGGATCATGATACTAACACAATTATATGGTTAATATTATTGGACACAACAAAAATAAATAGTAGTTGGCATTGTATGTAAAGACTATAAATTTTAGAAATACATAAATTTACTGATAAACTGAAACTTAAAAAATAAAAATATTTAGTATAAACATGTGATGGTCATTTGTTATTAGTGGCCCACTACACAATAATACTAACCAAAAGTTTGGTGGTTGGCTGCGGCTATGAATTGCACGGGCTCACGCGGGCTCTCTTTGAGCCTGTTGGGGCTCGCGGCTGGAGGTAGGAGATGGAGGCGTTATGAACAATGAGATCTGATCTGGACAATCATATGTGATGAAGAACGAACTGGTTGTGTAGGGTTTTCGGTGGAAAGGTAGGAGGAACTCTATCTCTCCTCGGATCTAAAAATGGGGGGAGGTCGGGGAAGGTGTTTCGTGGTGCACGAAATATGAGAAGGTGGTCTCTCAAACAAATTAGGGTTTTCACTAATTGGAAGTTGAGACCTTCCTTATGTACGAAGGGGTGTTGGGCTGATTAGGTGGAAAGTTTTGTTGGTATAGGTTTTTAGCATTTTAAAAAAGAGATAAAGGTCAAAAACATTTTTATTTAGGAAAACATGTATATATTTATAAGATATATTGCCTCCATATTCAACCGTTCGGGTATTAAATGAACTCAAAATCAAGCAAAATTTGATATGTGGCCTCAATATAGTATAACAAGATCACACGCACAAATTTGACTCATTTTTAGAACAATTAATTCCCATTTACTAAATAATTCTTAGATATTGTAACACAACCATGTGCGGGTGAGTCTTAGAGAAACGGACGATAGAAACAAAGAGTATTTATTCATCTTTTTTAGAAAACAGTGAAATAGGCTAGAGGTTTGAACAAACATCCGGATAACCCGGTACAAAGGCAACATGATGCTGATGCAATGCTGATGATGTCATAATGATGAAAAAAAGAACAATCAATTTTCTAATGCTAATGATGCCTACCTCCCCTATGTCGGCTCGTGCAACGCCCAACCACGGCCGCTAGGATACGGGTGCTAGGAGCACGCCCAGACCGTCCACCCAATGATGAGGGCGCCGGAGTGGCCGAGACCCGTCCCCGAAGATGAGCGAAAGAGGTGTCGTGAGCCGCGCCAGAACGGGCACGCAGGCAATGTCAATTGCGCAGCATGCCGCAGTAGATGCGCCCGTGCCACTGCTACATCTTGAGCTTGCGTTGGTTTTCGTTGAAGAGGAAAGGGTGATGCAGCAATAGTAGCGTAAGTATTTCCCTCAATTTTTGAGAACCAAGGTATCAATCCAGTAGGAGGCTCCTCAAAAGTCCCACGCACCTACACAAACAAACAAAGAACTCGCAACCAACGCAATAAAGGGGTTGTCAATCCCTTCACGGCCACTTGCGAAAGTGAGATCTGATAGAGATAGTATGATAAGATAAATATATTTTTGGCATTTTATAACATAGATTGGAAAAGTAAAGATGCATATAAAAGTAGATTGAAAGCTTATATGATAAAAGATAGGCCCGGAGGCCATAGGTTTCACTAGTGGCTTCTCTCAAGATAGCATAAGTATTACGGTGGGTGAACAAATTACTGTCGAGCAATTAATAGAAAAGAAAATAATTATGAGATTATCTAGGCATGATCATGTATATAGGCATCATGTCCGTGACAAGTAGACCGACTCCTGCCTGCATCTACTACTATTACTCCACACATCGACCGCTATCCAGCATGCATCTAGAGTATTAAGTTCATAAGAACAGAGTAACGCATTAAGAAAGATGACATGATGTAGAGGGATAAACTCAAGCAATATGATATAAACCCCATATTTTTTATCCTCGATGGCAACAATACAATACGTGCCTTGCAATCCTTTCTGTCACTGGGTAAGG